CCCCCCCCCCCCCCACCTTTGAAAAATCTTGGCTACACCCCTGGTAGAGTCTTGAGCATGTAAATAGTCTAAAGAAACAGTGCAATCATCAATCAGAAGCATTACGTTTCAGATTGATATTTGTCATCCTTGTTTAGAGTCTCGTAATTCTGTCTACTATTGCACGGTCAGTGTAAACCAACACCACATGTCAGTAGTGGGGTTTAGAGGAAGGTTATGAGGATTGATCATAACCTTGGTTGCCCACTGACAAATTCAAAAGCTGTTTGGCCATGAAGGCTTCATCTGTTAATTGATTGGCAGTGTCAGCCAAAGGAGTATGCATACACAGCTTGGCTACCTGTAGTGAGAATTGAGTACAAGTTACCTGCCCATGTGGCATACCAATGGCTACAAAATGATAGTACAGAGAGAGAGAAGGAATTAATGTAGTTGATTATGGGACAAATCATTAACATTCTGGGATCATGTGTACTAAAGACATCTGTGGTCGAGTGTTGATTGATATCCTCTTTTGACCCTTGATCAACTCTTGATCAGCATCTTGATCAACACTCGATGGACATCTTAATTGATTCTTGGTCAACACTTGATCAACAGCTTGATTGACACCTGGTCGACACTCGATCAACAGTTGGTGAGTGTTAACCGACTTGTATATACCAATGGTTTGTCTGCAAAAATTAGTTGACTCTTGACTGACTGTCAACTGAGATGTTGATTGAGTGTCAACCAAGGTGTCGATCGATATCGCTCAAGTGTTGATCAAGGGTTGATTGAGGGTCGATTGAAGATATTGATCGACACTTGACCACAGATGCCTTTAGTACACATGACCCACACTCCGTAGTGTTTGACTTAACTGTGGTTGTTTGGATTACAACAGCTGAGAAGTTTCTTGAATCAGTGGAAGGGAAGGAGGAATACAATGTTTTGCTACTGCAAATAGTGGATGATGCTTCAGCAGATGGATTGATTAGATTTGCTGCCGCAATTGCATTCAAGAACAGTGTGAAGCGAAACTGGAGAATTGTGAGTTCAAGAAAATAGCTGAACGTGATATTAACTGAGAGTGAGGTCTTTATGAGAAAATCTCAAACTGAAACCTTGCTGTATTGACAGAGTGATGGTGAGGTCAATACAGCGAAGTTAAGGTTTAAGATTTTCCNGTCTTCATCACTTCCTTATACTGGTGCAAGGTGGAATGTGTTGGGAGGCATCTCATTCTTTGAAATCTTTCTTTTAAGAGTTCTTGTTAATTTTTTTTTTCTTTTTTTTTTTGCAGGCCATAATGGAAGAAGCCAACAGATGTGGTAATGACCTGGCCAAGCTAAAAGATATTCTCAGTTCTATCTTGCTCATCTGCAAAGTGTTCTACAGTTTAAACTTCCAGGTGATTATTTTCATGCCCAGCTAAGAATCCCATGCAGTTTCTTTTAATTTACATTTATATTTTAAATTTGAGGATGATTTTCTTTATTGATAACACCTGTCTGCTATCTAAATGCTGGTTTTCACTAGTGATGTAGTCAAAATCGGAATAGTAGTCTGAGTTGTAACAGAGCTTACGACCCTAGTGAAAACCGAAAATCAGAATTGTAAGCAGAGTCATAAGCTCGACAGTATCGGAATCAGAAGAATCAGACTCCGTTTACGACTCCCGTCGCTTATGATTCAGTGAGAACTAGATTGTCGGAGGCAGAAGTAGAGGTGGAACCAATCACAAGGCCCAGAATTGAGCAGTGTGATTGGTTTAGATTCTTCTGCTTCTGCTTCTGACTCCATCAATGTAGTTTTCACTGGATCATAAGCGACAGAGTCATAGGCGGAATAGGTGTTCTGTTTCCAACTCCATCAGTTTGATTTTCACAAGATTGTATCACTATATGGTTATGATTACAACTCCAACTACAACTCTTTCGCTAGTGAAAACCAGCCTTATTAAAACTACTATTACCAACATATTTAAATACTTTTCAGGACTTACCTGAACACTTTGAGGAAAACATGGAGAAATGGATGAAGAACTTTCTTATTCTCCTCACAATAGACAGCAAGCAACTGAACCTAGAGGTTCTATTCTATTCTTTGTTAATTTTGTTTGTTGAACTATGTAGACTGCGAGCAGTTTCAAGAAAGAATGCAAAACAACATGAGCATGTGAGCGTGGCATATGAAGCCACGAGCTGTCACTTGTTTTGCATTCTTACCCATGGATTTTCAAGCGTAAGAGAGACTGCTCGCTGTCTTGTTGAACTATTATTAATTCCATATTGTTAAGATATGTATGAACTGAGCAACCATGGACCATACCAAAAATAAGAAGTACGTTGTTTAACTCTATGATAAATTAAATTAAGTAAAGCTCATCGTATGATGAAAAACCCTTCTCAGACTCATTAATCAAATTTACTAACTAAGGTAAGACACGAGAAATGTGTTTGGAAATGTGTTCTTAATTATTAGCAGACAATTTAATAGTTTTATTTGTCCAGTTTGTCCCTAGTTTTAGTTTCAATTGAGAAGATATGATTATGTAGATATCATTGCGTATCTAGGGTAGGGTTTCAGAATGCTCTAAGAGCCCTGGTTGTGGCATAAGTATAGGGAAGTCATGATTTTAGTGATGATAAAGCAGGAAATAAGGTATTTTATATAAAACTCCTCATCTTGATTTTGTTAACTTCCTTAATTGAAATGTTTAATTTTTAAGGACACTGATGAGACAGGACCATTAGATCTTATCAAATCACAGATCTGTGATAATGTAGCATTGTATGCACAGAAATATGATGAGGATTTTGAGGTAAGAGTTGATTTTAATAGCAACAGGGGAGCAGGGATGGCACAGTGGTGAGAGTGGCCCGGGTTTGATTCCGACCTGGTGCCATATGTGGGTTGAGTTTGTTTTTGGTTCTTGCCTTACTCTGAGGGTTTTTCTACAGGTTTTCCGGGCTTAAAAAAGGCGTCGTCCAGTCGTCCAGGACAAGTAGATTTTCTTGCCAGATCTCCAAATTCCAATTCAACCGGGATAGAGTTCTCGCATGAAAAACCAGCTAAGGCTGATGTGGCTTCGTCTCCGTTGTAAATAAATAAAAATAAAAAGCATTCATTTATAACCAATCATGTTTGTACGCTTTTAAAGCAGGAGAAATTTTATTTATTTGCTGTATTTTCTCCTTCGACCCTTGAGCACCCATGAGGCCTGTACAAATTTCCGAACAGCTTACTGCATGTCGAACTCTCCTCCCCCAACTAACAGGACACTTAGATCGGTACTGTTTTAGCAGCGACGCATTTTATTTTTAAGATGATTACCTCTCTTATTTTTATTATATAGACACTGGTTATCTATGATGTTTAATGATTTATTTCAGAACTACCTGCCAAAGTTTGTAGAAGCTANGCCTCACATTAAAATATTTATAAATACTGCACATTAAGTAAAAAGGCAAAATAAACAGAATGAATGAATGAGTTATTGTTTCTGTCACATCAGCTTTCCCGTGAAGTATTAGTAGCTTGTCTGCCATTACTCGTCAAGCACTTGACAGCCAAGAGCCATGTTGTGCACAGTTATTCAGCAAACTGCCTGGAGAAACTCTTTACTCTGAAGAAACCGGGTGGAGGAACTCCGTATGTGTTCATTTTTGTGTTATCTTTGTTTGTTGTCGTGTAAACCTTTAGTTACCTTTTTACCTTATGAAATACAGCATATGCAATTGACTAAATCTTTTGATACAGTCAAAAGCTTTTGAATGGAAAACAATCAGTAACATGAGGGGTTATAAGACATTTTGGTTCTTAAGCTGAACAATCATGCATCATTGCCATTGTAATGCCTTGCTATTAACAGTTATATTACAGAGATGAAATAACTGGAATATTTAATGACTGTAAAGCTGTTTGAAACTACTATCGGGACTTTTTTTCAAATTGGTAAGTCAATTTTTCCATGCATGTCTTTTTTACATTTTACTTACACAGAATCAGCAAGGCAGAGATACAACCATTCTTAGAGGAAATGTTGTCAAATCTATTAAACTTGTTACAAGTTCCAGGTTCACAAGAGAATGAATATGTCATGAAAGGTAAGGCATTTAACACCATTTTTGAAACCATATTGTAAAATCCTAGAATTTGGGCAATTTTTTTGGAGACATAATGATGGCAGTGCGATTGTTAGTCTGCAAAATCCTGCCAGCTACATAGGCTATGTGACTTTGAGGCAAAATTCAGCTGCAGATCTATGACTGTATGCTAGACTTGCAATCTGGTTTTTACAATAACTGCATAAATTCTTGCATGCTCATTGGCTAATTTTCATTGTCAATAAGCTGACAGACACATGTCTTGAATTTCTCACATTTTGATTTAATTTTGTCCCTTCTGCCCTATGGTTTAATATTGTACAAAACAAAATGACATCAGTTTTTCATGCGTCTGTCCTGTTATTGGTAGTGAATTTTGTCATAACATTGTCAATTGAAAGTAGTCTGCAGATCCACTTGGCTGTCAATTTGATGTCAATTTGTTAAATTGATTCTAAACATGGTTGGGTGGGTGGGCAAGGTTTATGAACATGATGGAGTTCCATTTTGTACTTAATGATTTGCGTGCTGTTTTGCAGCCATTATGAGGTCATTCTCCTTGCTCCAGGAAGCCATGTTGCCATATGTTGGTGTGCTGATCAGTAGTCTGGCAAATAAACTTATGCTTGTCAGCAAGGTAAGAGACGGATTACATGTAATTGTAATCTGCTCCATATCTCACTATTTTAGTTTGCTACCAAACTGAAATATGTTGCATTCAGTTGTTTTGATTCAAATATAGTGATGACAGATTGCAGCTGATTGTAAAGCAGAAGTTTAATTCATTCTGACTGTGGTTTGGATGGAAAGTGGTTTGATGTAGAATCCCACCCTTTGAAATCAGTTATATTGCCCAAGTCATCATAATGTTCCAGATAGACTGTCAGCTCTAAACATAATCAAAATAGCAGTCATTATTAGTACTGATCACAAAATTCTTTCTAAATCTAATCTCACTGGGATGATCACACACAACAAACAATGTCTTTGCTTGATTGCTGATATTTTATTGAAATGTTTTGATTATAGAACCCCAGTAAACCACAGTTTAACCACTATCTGTTTGAGGCCATCTGCTGTGCTATCAGGTTTGTTACTAGTAAATGCAAAATCTCCAAGATGTAAAATAATGAAGATATAATATAAAGCTGAAAAGTACTATCAATATCAAAAGTGAAAGACTGTGTTTGATCACATTTCCAAACTCTGAGAGGAGAGTTGAAACACAGTGCATAGCGGAGTATTTTTGACAAATGTCAAGTTGTTTGGAAATGTGGTCAAACACTGTCTTGATTGTTTTATATAATTATCTTTTCAATCAAAAGTAAAACTAAGGTGAAAACGGAGAAATAAAATTATTGTAAAAACCTCGGCTAATTAAGATCAAATATCGAAACATCATTAAGGCCACGATTTCTTTTGTCTAGACTCCAGATGAATTATTATTAATGAGTTTGTGTATTAACAGATATGTCTTTGGTTCTGTTCTTGTTATCAGGGCAATATGCAAAGCAGATGCTTCTGCAGTGTTAGGATTTGAGACAACACTGTTTCCTGTTATTCAAGAGATCCTTTCAAATGATGTGACAGGTAGGCAGTTAGTTACTTCCAGATTTTCTTGCTCAGTTTGGCTGGAGTGCTACTTTATCTTCTCCTAATGTACTGCTATTTTGCCTTCTTTCAGAGTTCCTGCCGTATGTTTTCCAAGTTTTATCTTTGCTACTTGAAATTAGACAAGATGAAATTCCTGAACCTTACATGAAGTTGTTCCCACTTCTTCTGTCTCCAGTGCTCTGGGAAAGAACTGGTATAAGCTGCCACTTTACATTATTTTGTACCTAAGTAAACTTTATTATCATTCTGAGATTACCAGTATAATGAAATAGTTCTTTTCTGGCAGTAACACTTGAAGGAGCTCAGTCAAGACATTTTAAGTTATTTTGGTCATGTGCAAAATTACCTTTCAATTGAAAGAAACCTGAAAATAATAGTTTACTAAAATAGAAAAACACCAAAGAGATAATAATAAACCATCAAGGAACAAGGATGATTAAAGATGGAGAAGATTAACATGAATTAGAAATGACAAACTTGAAAAATTTAGGGTTAAGTTTTCAAGATATGCAAACTGTGACGTAGCTCATTTAAATCCACAAATTGTATGATACTCAGCCAATGGCTCTTGTTTCAGGAAACATACCTCCCTTGGTCCGCTTACTTCAAGCTTATATTGAGAAGGGAAGCAAAGTCATCGTTCAGGAAAAGAAAGAGGTAACTAGGCAACAGCGTGTAGTTAATGATAATCTGGTTGGTATAATTGGTAAAATATTCTTATTCTCCTCTAGAATGCCAATAATTTGTTATGTTGCATGTTAACTTCCAAGTCTCTCACCAAGACCTCTTATACTTGGTGCAAGAATGAGAGTTTATTGCTCTTAAATCTAACGTGAGGTTTCTGAAGATTCTACAACAATTTATAGCAATCTAAAAAGTATAAATTATGTAATTCTATGTATTGAAAGTTATTAATTAAGGGGATATATAATTATAAAAAAATAACATTACACCAATTGTTAAGACACAGTATGAAATTCAATGATCCTAAGGAAATAAAATAAGGAAACATTTGCGAGGTTTTAAAAAGTTATTTACAAGTAGTTATGGTCCTTGTTGCCTGTTATACATTGCTGAAAAAGGTAAAGAGAGGATTACATCACTGGCTTAAAGTGCCTTAATGTTTTATTAATGGAAATTATTGTTTGTTTATTATCATTAGATGGGTCTGTTAGGTGTATTTCAAAAGCTGATTGCCTCAAAGAGCAATGATCATGAAGGATTTTACCTGATGGGGAGTATGGTGGAACACTTTGAAGTGTAAGTTCATCTCTTGTCAATATTTATCATAAATCACCATGTTACAAGCAAGAAACTGTTTTTTCACATTTTATAACATAAGAAAAACGGGTATTTGTAAGCATTTTTCATGGAATTTGCAATGTCTAGAAATGTGATGAAAGTAACAATGTCAGTGTTTGATATATCTTCTCAAAAAACTAAAACTAAAATGTAGGAGCAAATAAGAAATAAAATCATAAAAATATTTTCTGCTTGAGATCATGCATCCAAACCATTTTCACAGTTACCTTTTCTGTTGTTTTAACAGAGATAAACTATTAGTGAGTTTTGAGAATGATTGATCATGAACCAGTTAGTATGTTATACCATTTAATTATCTTGTGACTTTAATTTGTTCCTATTTCCCCTTGTTCAGGTCTGCGCTGTCAGAACATATTAAGTCTGTGTTTGTCCTTCTATTCCAACGGTTGCAGAGTTCAAAAACTACAAAATTTGTTAAAGGTAACATTATCCAAGACTTTTCGTGAATTTTATCTCATACCAGCCCTCTATGCACCAACAATTCATCATGCTCTGTCCCTTTTGGTCAGGAGTGGTGTGGGGGGGGGGGGGTCCTTGGGTGCCCTTGACCCCCCTTTTTTAAGCCCTTTTTTAAGCAAACAGCCTGCAACAGGTGGCTAAAATGACATGACAATCTGGTGAGTACCCTCTTGACAGAGTGTGACCCCTCTCCCCTCCCCCTTTGAAAACTCCTGGCTGTGCCCCTGCCTTTTGGCTCTCTGTTGATTGTATACTTCCTGCATTTGTACTGTATCACCTTTCTTCTTTGTTGTTGTTGACCTTTCAAGGTTTGACATAATTTTTTTTGTCACATTAATTTCCTATAATTTGTAGGTTTACTAGTGTTCCTGTGCCTTTATGCTGGAAAGAATGGTGGCACTGCTCTGATGGACACTGTAGACTCCATTCAACAGGGGTAATGAAAAAGTCAATGAATCAGTATTTAGATTAAGATCCATTACTTTTTTTCTTACAAGTTTTCTAACAATCATGTGAGGCAGGTGTCATGTTTGTTGTATTCAAAAGAATAGCCCACGAAAGCATCTACTTTTTTTTCGTTTTGGCTGAAACAAGAGTCAAAAAAGCTGGATGCTCTCACAAGCTAACAAGACAAAGGAAATGTTGGAATCTTATTGTCAAGTTGTGTCCATAGATGTGTCGTTAACAGAAGAGAGTGTTTCTGAAAAAATATCTTAAGTGACAAATCTGAACATTTTCAAAAGCTATTTCGAGAAGTGCATTTTGTTCAGTTCATTTAGAATCTTGAATTGTAATTTTTTTTCCTACTGTCTCAATATGTTATTGTTCCATTTGCTTTCTTCCAGACTTTTTGGAAATGTTGTGCAAAAAATTTTAATCCCTGATGTACAGAAGGTAAGAAAGATAATTTTATTTATCGGAATGTTTTTAGACTGTGAGCAGTCTCTCTTTTACTCAAAAATCCATGGGGAAGAACGCAAAACAAGTGAGCGTGCAACCATGACTGTGAGTGTGATGTTTTCTGTTGTCCAATGGAGTTTTGAGGTGCATCCCTACAGGGACACAAGCAACGATATTTAAATGCATAAGCTGAAGGTCCTGTTTTTGGTGTCTTTATTGTTCTTTGTTCTTACCCATTCAGTTATTTTATTATTATTTAAAATAATATTTAGGTTACATTTGGATTTCTTTCTCACTTGCAGGTATCTGGGACAACGGAAAAGAGGATCTGTGCTGTTGGAATGATCAAGTTACTTGCAGACTGTCCTAAATTTTTAGAAACTTACAACAATCTTTGGTAAACTATTATCATTTGTTATCTGTCAGTCACTGATGATAGCTGTGTAATCATTCATTCATTTGTTAATTTATACATCTGTCATTGTGGAGGCACAGTGGCCTCATGGTTAGTGCACTCGCCTCCGGATCAAGCAGTCCGAGTATGGGGCCTGGCCGGAGACATTGTGTTGTGTTCTCGGGCAAGACACTTTACTCTCGCAGTGCTTCTCTCCACCCAAGTGTGTAAATGGGTGCTGAAAAATTTGATGCTGGGGGATAACCCTGCTATGGACTAACATCCCATCCAGGGGGGAGTAGATATACTCATAGTTGCTTCATGCTACTCAGAAACCAGATGTAAGTGCCAGCCTAATGGGCCACTTGGCACATATGCAGACTTGACCTTTTACCTTTTTACCAGTAGTATAATATTGACTTCACATGTTGTATCATCATAGGGTGCCTTTATTACAAGCTCTGATTGGATTATTTGAGTTACCTGAAGATGACTCCATTCCTGAGGATGAGCACTTCATAGAAATTGAAGACACGCCAGGTACAGAAACTAACCACTTACCTCTTTGACAATGCCTCAGTTGGTATAGTTGTGTTTGATACTCATTTTGCATTGTTCCAGAAAATCTACACCCCTCCTGTGGAAGGTTTTTAGTTTGACCCCCACCCCCACCCATCTGGAAATTCCAGTTTAGCTTTATACTTTTCTCTCAAAACTCCGAACTATTGTGAAAAAATTTGATGGCTTCTTTTTCACAGGGTACCAGACAGCCTACTCACAGTTGGCTTTTGCGGGAAAGAAAGAAAGAGATCCATTTTTTGGAACAATTCCTGATGCCAAAATCTTCCTTGCCCAGTCCCTACTGAAACTATCAACAGCACATCCTGGAACGGTAGGATGTAACTTAAACTATATTATTATACCATTTGATTGGCTAATAATGCTGAAAATAATTCCTTAACAATTTAGTTTAGGATTATAGCCATGCTGTTGAAACTAACTAGAGGCATGTTTTATGTGTATGTTGAAGCAGAGGATTCATCAATGCCAGGTACCAGGCGAATTGACTGGCTATAGACAGAACTTTGCCCGGCTGCTTCATAGACATTTTATATAGTACTGTTCCTGTCTTTTTAAAAGACTGTCTAACACTCTTCTAAAATTTGGTTGAGCTTATTTTAAGTCAAAGAAACCTTGATTGTGCTGGTAAAGTATGATTTATTTCCCTTGTATCTTCAAATTGTAGTCGGAGCAAATTGTCCCATTGACATCCATTGATCAAAAAATATATATTCTGCATGATAGCCCACTTTAAATATGTAGGCTTGTAGGCAACTGAGCGGTGCTAATTTTGTGATTCAAATTACAGGAAAACCCATCTCTGCAAGTTTAGAATTTCAAATTTTTCCAGGGGTGCATCCCCTGCCCTGAACCCCCCAGCTAGGCAAGACCCCTTGAACCTTGCAAATTTTCTGCCAATGTCATATCCTGCTGCCCTGAAAATATTAATAATAATAATATTGAAAGTATCATTGAAACCCTGGATGCAAGCTAAAATAATATCATTCTGAACAGTGTGCATACACTTAAACCATCAGTAAAGGTATAACTTCCCACATTGTGTATTGTGTTAATCTTGTGACCCGCCCTGAATATGTATTTGATTCAGGTAACTTATAGTCATTCTCTCTCATAGATTGACACCAAGATCAAGTCTGAGCTACATGAAGATGCATTAGGCTTCCTGCAGAAGTATCTTCAAGAGGCGGGCATTACTTTGAGATGAAGATTAAGCCTAGAATAAATCCTAGCCTTGCCTGGCTACAAACAAACTCAGACAAGAGTTTGGTTTGGTGTATTCATGTTGGACAAGTGGTTATTGATTCAGGCACTTCTTGTCACTGACCTACGTAATACATGTAGAACTGACTGATAGAGATGTACAACAGGAGGTCCTTTACATAAAATTACCCTAGTCATTAATCCATAGTGATTGTCTTCTTATAGTCAGCCTTAAACAGTACGAAAAGCTACAGGAACAAAAAGAACAGCTTTGTCCCGTCAGGACATGATTTTATGTAAAAAAAATTGGTTTTCACTCAGCAGACTAAAATAGAAATGTATGTTCCACTGTAAAGTGTTTGTGAAGTCAGAAGCCATTTATGACTAGGTAAGATTTCAATCTATTTTTTGCTGTAAACCACTCAATGGACCAGTTTAAGGTTGTTTCACTGACTGGACATGAGAGATGTAACTATTAACTGGCAGCATCACAGCTAAGATCATTTCAATGAAGGACTGAGATGTTGCAGTACACCCAGTAGTGTACAGTCCTGTGTATTATTAAGAAATTATAATTTGATTCATAACAAATACGTTCCCTGGACATGGAGTTTAAGTAGTGAATAGAGCTGATGTAGATGTTTGTCATAATAAAAAGCTGTTAGATTCATTACTTCTGTAGTCATCTTTAAACGCTGTTTTAAAAAACACATTTATTTATGACTAAATCACACACCCTACTCATATCATTTGCATATTTCCATTTCTCCTGGATGCTGGACTTGATCTCTAGCTGTATGGAAGTTGAGTTTGGAATATCATGAGGGCTTCTATTTGGGAGAACTCTGAAAACAGTTGCTTGGTACATGACCTGATTGATTAAAACCAGTTCTACAAATTTTGACGAATACTGAACATTCCTATTTCATCTTACAGACTTGTTACCTTTGTATCTAAGGGATTCACTGATATAATATTCCTAGAGACTTTGTTACCCAGGATACAGGAAGTTAAGTTGTCATTTTAAGATGATCTTTCACTACAGACTGAGGACATTTCTGAAGAGGCCTACAATACAGGGGAAAAACGCCCTTGCATAAAACTGTTTATTTTGTCTTTTATATTAATATACAATATTTACAAAGAATTTCCACAAAATAAAATTAATATTACCTCTGTAACAATATTGTAACTATTGTTCTTTACTATATAGATTTTTTAAGTGACATGTTGAACTACTCACTAATGTGTCTGTTCCATACTTTGTGTGTGTGTGTGTGTGTGTGTGTGTGTGTGTAATGAACTGGAAATATCTTTTTTATACATATAACAATTCTACCTTTTTGGTTGGCTTTGCTTGGCACCTCTTAGAGAGGGGGTGGGGTGGTACACTTAAGAGGCATTTCAAGCACATTTGCACAAGCCATGGTTCATATTTTAGCAGGATGAAGCCCAGCCAATATCAAACAAGCTTGATATGCTACCAAAGTATACAGTCAAGAAAGTTGTACCCCAAATGTGGCCAAAAACCTGGTGATAACAGGTCAATGGCTTGATATTACAGGAAATCAGGACAGCAAATAAGGGTGCCATTTGGCTAATTGTGGATTTAAATTAAACTGTGGTAAGTGTTTGTTACCTAGATCCTCATGATATTAGATAACATGCACAAGTCAACTCCTTGGATTCAGATGTTTCTTTGTTTCTTGCTTGTAATAATAATTTACATGTAAATCTTTCTCAAAACTCTACACCTGTGTGGCTGTGACAAATGGGTCTCAGCAATAAGGATCAGACAAGTTAATTTTTAAGTCAAATGTTGTGTACGTATTCCTATAAGGCTTAACAAACTATAATTTTTGGAAAAAAAAAAAAGTTTTCCATAGATCACCTACCACTATTAAAGGACTTTTCTAGTTAGGGTCATAACCAACTGAGAAATACATTCACACATAATTTACATATTCTAAAACACACCCACAGGTGAAAATAAACTCATTATTTCTACCATTATTTCACAGTTGAAGAAACCATAGATCAATCTAGAAATTAGTTTAGTCTTGAACAAAATTAACAAACTACACATTTTACAGAAAGCAAGAGAACTCCTGTAAAGTAAGTCGGAAAGTTACACGAGAGACACTCATCTGAGATCAAGCCACAACGTAAAATTCTTTTATAGTTCTGAACTTAGTAACTACGAAAAATGTACTAGGAGTCAATTAGTTTCCGATAAGTCTTGTTCTCGTGACTCCTGTCCACTGGCTTCTTTCCCTTGTATAGTTCACTTGCATTACAAAATTTGGCAATACTAGAGAGATGAATAACAATACCATGAAGTGAACCGAATGTTACAGACTTACTAACCCTGCGAGCAGAGTCTCCTTCGATCTTGATCGAACGAGACTCTGCTCGCAGCCGGTACAGACTTACTCTATGTTGACTCTATTTATCCAACGTAATTCGACTCGCAGTGAAGTCGTGAACTCCATCACGGATACAAACGCGAAAAGCGAATAGTTGTATAACAACGTAAGTAAGAATAGCTGCTTGGTTTCTTCTACGGAAAATGTGTCAAAGTTACACGAAAACTGTAATTCGATTCCACTGACAGAATTGAGATTAAAACGACAGTAACCTCTGAAGTGAAACCACTGTCGAGGTGAAACCACCATTGCATTGCCTTCATTCTGTAGTCTCGTACTGAAGTCTGCTAAAGCAAAGTGAAACGAAGATGACATAAAAAAGACTCTCGTAATAATAATTCTCCACAAAGAAAGTGTTCATTCTACCTCGCACGTCGCTGATCCATAAATCGCCGTGGTCTTTGTAGCGAGGTAGTGGTTAAGCTATCATCTATTCCTTGGCCTGTGATCTTGGAATGAGACGCTTTGCACGAAATCCTCGTATGTGGCTTTCTTTTCGCTACGTGCTACACTCCAGGAGGAACAAGCAGTTTCCAATTCCACTGTAGCATATGAGAATAACAGCAGCAATGAAAACTATCGTACAAATTGTACAAGGGCGTCTTTCTAAGAAAAAGCTCGCCAAATACAGTGTCATGAACATGGAATGGTTGTGCAATAAAAACAAGTTCGCCGGGCGTGGAATCAGCAGAAGAGGCAACAGCCACTGTAAGCAATACATTGTTCAATATTGGCGTCCACGAGATCACTTTAGAGGCTTTTTTGAGTGTCAAAATCCAGTTAAGACTCGACAGAAAACGAAACGTGTTAGCCAAGTATCAACTCTCGAACCCTTGGGTTGGTGCCCAGGTTTCCCCGGTAAAGAAGAAGCCTCACGGTGACGGTGACTTCGTCACCATCAAAGGAAAATAGGTGCGTTATGCGTACACGCGAAAGCATAGTAACTGTTGACTTCGGGGTAAAGATGCCCTGATTTTGAAATATTCAAACAGAGACCGAGCGGGTGAATCAGTTTTTTCTTCAAGGAGCAAAGTTCTGGGGTACTTTCCATTTTGTGGAAAATTTCAGAAATTTGAGTTCATTGGAAGTAAATGGTAGATGGTTTTTCAGTTTGCCTTAGTGGAAGATTCCTGAAAAAATTGAACTGAGTGATTAGAAAGAGGTAAAGAGAAGAACAGTTTTTACTTCAAATTTTCCAGTGCAGTGAACTGAAAAAGGATTTTCCATTTACATCCGGCCCAGGTTGTTCGAAAGGTGAATAAGGTTATCCATTATCCAGCAGATAGCATGGTTTGAGTTGTTAACACTTATCCACTGGTTAGCGATTTATCCAGTGAATACGGTAGTGTTATCTAGCCTTTGAACAAAAATAATTTTTGACTAAATAGAGAGTACCCCTAGATTGTGTTCCTGTCCATCTGTAGATTGGAAAAATTAGATAATATTATTCAACATTTTTCAACATCCTTTTATTAACAATGAATTTAGTGATAAATATTTGCACATAGATTAGATTCTGGTACTTCCTAATCTGAACAGCCCCATAATATTATGATACTGGCATACAGGTTTTTTTTTACTGCCATGAGGCTGTCTCCAGCAGAAAAAGGGCCTAGTATTCATGTGCTACCAGAAAGAAGAAAGGTTTCAACCTAGGCTTGTGTTTAATCTCTTTACATAAAATCATCTTCATCTGACACATTGTCCTGAATAGAGAAAAACACAGTAATTCTTGTGAGTTTTGATAACAACCACTTACTGATCACTAATATGATTAGTAAATTACCATTCTTTTAAATTTTGCATTCATAGCAATATTACCATAAATCCTCTAAACAGGTTCTGTAGGTTTGTAATTTTGTAGTACATGATTGGTTTTTAGCTTAGTTCATAATTTGATTGTAAAGTTGCACATATGCTGTTTCTGCTCTTTTAATAAAGACTATAATCCCCCTAGGGGTTGTTAATTTCACTCACATAATTTTGGTATGTTTGTCTTTTTTCCCATGTTGTAGAGGGAAATTACATCAGATTCCACAGGAAAGAACAGTCAGTAAATAGAATTATTCTATTTAAATATTATTGTTCAGTGTACCTTGTTGGACATCATATTTTGTGAGACCATTAATGAGTCATAGCTCCTGAAAAAATAAAATGAATATTATCAACTTATGTAGTAAATTGCTCATACATGACACTTATTTGTACATCAGCAAACATATTTTGAGTTAAATAATCCAGTACTATCTTACTCTCAGTATCATGGATTTTCAAAACTTAATATAAAAATAAAAATAAAAAATAACTTTAATATAAACACAGCTTCCATTCTCACCTCAGTGCAGCTTCCTCTTTCCTTTTCTTTTCTTCCTCTTTTTCTCTTTGTTTCTGGTTACATATAAAAGAATAAAAAACAGTAAAACTAATGTTTGTCAATAAGATACTACTGACACTCTCCAGCAACATCAGCCAAAGCTAAGAATGATCCTAATCAAATGTTCACCCAATTTAATTACAAATGTGTTATTCCAGAAATATATCCATACCCCTCCCAAGGAGGCAGGGATTTCATTAAAATTCACTACAAATATGGTAACTGTAACTTACATGCATAATTTTTTGGGCCTTTTTTATTTTTATTTTATAATTTTCGTTTTCAATATTTTGGGGGCGTTTTTAATAAAACAATAATTCCACTCGTGCTTGTTGGATATATGAGATGGTAATAGCCGAATTGGCAGTACATGCCTCGTTGGCTATCTGTTACCTCATATTCAATGGACGCTCATGGAATAATTATTGTTACTTAAAACGATCCTAAAGTCTCTGGCACTCCCCACTAAGGTGTTTAACCTGTAGTGGACAAATTACTTGAAATTTATTACTGTCAGCAAAAAAAGCCTTAGTGCATAATAATTTATTGAGCAAACATACCTGCTCTCTTAATTTCTTTTTGTTTCCTTCTCTTTCCAGTCGATCCCTCTCTTCTCTTAGCTCTCTTAAGTTTACAACCTTTTCTTCTTTAGTCTTGTTCAGTCTGTTAACTATCTCACTGATTTTCTTTTCAACTTGAATGGTTCGTACCTTCAAAGTTACAGACTAAAGTTAAGAGTAACAAGAAAGTGAATAAAGACACTGATAATTTAGTAAAGATAAGTTACCTCTTTGTTACTGTGAAAACCCACTTGGCCAACCTCCATGTCACTGGTCTTTTTTAAGTTTTCCCAAAGGGTGTATACGACAGCAATATTGTTAGTCTTGCAACCTAAAATATATTAATTTAATAAAATTACTGTTTGAACATAAGTGGCTTTCAGCACTTCCATGAGAAAGACATCAATGGCCAGGGGATAGGGGGAAGAGAGACCCTGGGAACAATTAAGGTTGATGTTTACCTTGAATGCTATTAGCTTTTACTAGCTGAGCACAATCTGTTAACACTGCCATGGGAATGTCATCCAGTGTTTCGCCCTATTGGAATTAAAACAGAAAATCACTAACACATTTGAAGAATGAAAAGATAGACATCCCCACATGCCAGGCTTATATCAACAATAGCTTTCATTTGGCATGAATGTCTGCAGACATTATCGTGAACACTTCTCTGAGAGTGTAGCTCGAGGAACAGAGAGATTTGAGGAACGGATAATGTCCAAGGACAAATATCCTCGGAAGAAAATTTTCTCTCCAAATCATAGCTGTTGTGTTTATTATCCCTCAAATATTTTTTGCAACATGCACAGTTTTGAAAAAAAAGTCATGTGACATGTTTAGACCAATCAGGTATGAGCAAAAATATTTGATGGTATATAATTCTTGGTATAACACTTTCACAGTACATCCGGTATCTTACCTTTCGTAATCTAAGATAAACATGAGCTGATGACATTTTGTCAACATGAAACCTACAAAATAAATTACACATTGTGTGGCTCAACGGCAAAACAAGAAAATTCACTTGTAAAACAGGCAAAACAAAAGAGAACCTAAGATGGTTAAAAGTGGCCCTGTATTCTGTAGTTTAGCCGATGAGCTGTATAAATTAAAATTCTTACCAAACATCTTCTGGGAAGCCCCATTTAATTAAATCTTCATCTGTATGGAGACAAAATATTTCTTTCGCTTAATAGTATAGAAACGAGTGATATGGCCTTTAAAATGGCCGGAATGTTTGATCGATCGAGACTGATGATAAAAAGTTTCAACAATAAAAAATTAACTCACTTTCGTGTTTATCTGCTCCCATGAAAATAATGGATGGTGGCGAGACAACTGGTGAAAAAAACAAACAGCAATTAAATATAGTTTTGCTTTCCCCAGAAACCAGTTACAACACATAATTCGACTCACCATTGCTTTCAAAATATAAAACCATGATGGATGGTGTCTGCCTTCAACAAGGCGTCCAAGTTCCAAATAACAACCGTGACAATCTGGGGACTACTAGTCCCAGTCCTTTCGCAATACGAGTTCTATCAGTTGCTATGGGAACAAACAACGCCAGCTGTAAAGAGTACTATGGTTACTGTGTAAACTCATTCAGTCCACGTCTTCCTTGCGGAAAGAGTCTTTGCCTGAAATTTTATTGAAAAGGAACATATATGGCTTTGACGGATCCTAAGATTCCTCCACGCTTTGCAGTGTCAGATTGGCACACTTCAAACACGATTATAAGGACAAACGCAGAACGCCAAAGAGATTCTTCGCACCGTGTTCGACAAGAAAGCCGCTTTCTGAGAAACGAGACAGACAACCACACTCGCTGGACCCAACACGACAGCAACACAAAGCTTGAAAAGAGAATACATGACATTGACAACTGGAAGAGGGATTTAGAGAGATGTCTCGCCGAAACAGATGCCGAGATTGCTTTATTGCAGCAGGAAAAAGAACGAACAGAACGCGCCCTAGAAGCAAAGAAAGTTCCGCTTGATATCACCTTCGAATGTCTTATGTTAAGAGAAAATCGACAAAGCATCGATCTTGTACGCGATGAAGTCGAAGCCCAGCTTCACAAGGTTAAAAAACCTTCGGAACTTTTTCTAACAGATGTTTTTCTCGAGTGAATTAGACATAAACATGTTTACATGAAGTAATCAATTAAAAGTTCCTGGTGAAACCCCCCAACAATTCTAGAAAATAAACCTGATAAAATGATATAAGGTCATATAAAACTTCTGGAAAGGGGAAGGGAAAACAAGTTATTATACGATTTAGCATGCATGGTTGTGCTGAGATATATTTCGTATTTCATTGATATTGCAGTGTAATCTTAATTAGTATAAGCATATTATACAGTGTTTTCAATAAGCTTATGTATAAACTTAATGTAAAATACATGTTTTGTGTTACAGGAGGTGGAAGTGATTGAAGGAGCTAAAGCTCTTCTTCAGCAGAAAGTTGACGAAGCCTCTGAACAATTATGGTGAGTTTAAGAAAGTCTAGAATTTCATTCATTTAAATTATAATAATTATTAGTGAATTTACTTATTAAGTAAAAAATCCCTGTACAAAACTGAGGCGGCTATCATGGAGGTCTGAGGGAAAAAAGGGATCACTCGGAATAATACTGGAAAGCAAAGAAACTCCACAAATGGAAAATACACTTCACTTCGCAATTCACTTTTAGCCATGACCCCCTGGGGGTATTAAGCCGATGATTAAGTGAAAAATATCCAGGTAACAAGAATTCTGAATGTTTCTCTCATTTCAGTCTCTTGCAAGAGGCTCGCCATCAACTACACCTTGATATAACAGACAAGCACACTACCCTGGAGCTTGACGCTGAATGCTATCGCCTGAACAACAACTCAGCTAACATTGGCTTTCAAGTAAATCCCACACGCACCGTGAAGGGAAGTGTAACTCCTGAGACTTGGGATTCCTTTTCAAACTACAACAAGCTACGTGCCGAGGCAGAGATGAAAGCATCCAAGCATCTCAGGGAGGCAATTTTTGCCACCTTAAAGCAGACAGCTAATGATCTTGAAGCTCAGAGGCAAGCCACAGAGTATTCCTTCCGCAAAAGAATTCACGAGACCAATCAGGCTAGGTCAGAGCTGGAGTGGCAGCAGAAAAATGTAAATATTGATCATTATATTATTATGCATGTCAATATGTCCTTCCCAAAATCTTTCTAACCCAAAAAAGTCCTCAGATCCCAAATTTCAAATGCAAAAAAGATAAGAGAGACAACCACAACGGTTTCATAGAAACTAATCACTTTGTTACAAAAATTGTACAAGGTGTGTAGGACCCTACACCAGCCATCATCAAACTACTGGACATGTCAAAACTCAATGGTTAATCACTTAATCTCTTTTCTCTTAGACCATGGAGGAAATCTCAACTTTAGAAAATGACATTAAGGGAATCAAGGAGGCAATTGATGCTAAGAATGCACCAATGATGGTAAGTTACTGTTGCAGTTTTTCAGGGTTTTCTTTGCTCGCTTTCAGTAGCCTAGCTTCACAAATATCAATAAGTTTTTCTCCATGACAAATGGTTGGGGTCATTGTTTTTATATGGTTTTGAATGTTCTTTTTTTTTCTGGATCTGCAATGACTTTGTGTTTACCGGAAATGCATGCCCGGTCGCAGGATCAGACTCCAGATGGTCCAGATACCTAATGCAATACATTATTTCATTCAAGCTTTTGTTGCCGTTGATTTCCAGGTTGTACAAACACGTCTGGAAAACAGAACATACCGACCCAATGTTGAACTGTGTCGTGACCAGCCTCAGTATCAGATGTGCCATGAAGTGGCTGAAATCAGCGGCTCCATCAGGGCACTGAATGAGAAGCTCCGAGAAGCAGAAAATGCACTGCAGGCTTTGAGAAGCAACCTGGAGAGGATCAATGAGGACCTTGCAATCAAGAACAATTCACTGGCTTTGGAGAATAGAAGCATGGAAGTGCGGCAGAAAATGAAGGAAGTCCCGCATAGCATGATGAATACAGGAACAGTGTTCAACACCATTCAACATTCATCTCGTGTTCCTACAATGGAGAATGCTCCCTTTACAGAGGTGCAGGGTACCCGTTCTCCCATGCCCGTGACCTCTCCTCGTGTGGCTAACACCACCTACACACCACCTTTGAGCGGCAGGAGGGTGCAATCACCACTTGTTGACTAGTAAAAGTTTTTATAAACAGAAGAAAAGTTTGTTATAGAAGTGTTGAAATGGTGATTTTATGCAAGAATTTGTGAACTACTTTGGCATAGAGATGGACTCTTCAAACCAGGAAAACTTCCAAGAATGATCACTTGTAAACTGTTTTTTTCGTTGTTCTAGTTGTCAATGCTTAATACAAATTATAATTGCACATAGCAAAATGTTTTTTTTCCTTTTCATTTTAGACCAATACAAAATGTGTCTTCTCAACAGCGTTCGACTATAATTTTAACAAAATGACTTTTTCAAGAAATATGGTTAATTTATGCATGTACAGTTAATGCCATTTTAATGTAAATATTTTGGAATTATTCAAATCAGCTGCTAATAAAACAATCTTCATGATACTCCTAATGTGTGAACTCAGTTTGATTCTTGTTATGGGAATAAATCCCACAGTGAAATCAAATATTTATTAATACTGGTTCTAGATAATCATATCATTCTCATAACAATGCTTGTTTCTTGTTATCAATAGTTTATATGGTCAACTCCATCCTATTGCTCACACACACAAAACTGACTATTAAAAGATTATGTCATAACCTGCATAGCATTCAGTTGCTCTCCAAGTACAAGGGACATGTCAAAGCTCTGTGCAACAGGGCAAACAGTGTTAGACAGACAAGAGGAATGGAAGATTGAAATACAAAAAGATACTGATTACTACAATCAATATATTGGACAACACAGGCATTAATATTACGTAACTGAAAGATAACGAAGATTTTATTATAAATGCACCGCAAGTTACAATATCAGGGTCTTGGAAACTTGGTTACTGTAGAATTCTGTATATATATCCAGTGACTAAAAAACTGCCCCACTATACCAGCATTTTTATTACTGTTAAAAAAGAGGCTGGTCTGTAAAAAATAAATAACCAAAATCTGCCCTACAGCCTTGTTTCCAGCCTAATTTCCCAGGTCTCTCTTCTTCATACCTCAAGGAGGCATGATGAAGAAAAACCCTTGACTAGCTAAAATATAATACCGTCAAAAAAAGTGAACATCTACGGCTACACGAAGGAAGCTTAATTCACCAAACAATATTACAGCACAAAATTGGTTTTGATTCAAATCATTGTACTTTATCACACTAAGAATAATGTGTGGTCATGTTACAGACATTACATGTCCATTGTAATTCCATCCACACATGATAAGTAGTTTCCTTGAGCTAACTTTCATCCTGTCTTCCAAGCCTTATTTAGACTATAAAAATGTGTTCATGTCATCTTTCTGGTATCCGATCTTCACAAAAGGAAAAGAGAAATCTTATGTACAGCTTACTGGACAAAACATGCTAACCAAAACATTTTGAAAGCCCAGCTAAGATGATCAAACAGGCAAATTTCTCAAGCCCTTAGTTTTAAAAAATACAAATTAATTTCATAACACAGCTAGTACAACCACACAACCAAGTTCAGTGTATGTAAACATGCACCATTATCCAATAGTGCAAGCTGATAACAGGAGCAAGTCACCGTGCCAAAATTATTGTTTATCACATGGTGATGTTGCAATAGATGTTGTTTTAGATTTTTTTGGAGTGAGTTTTGATATACATTTCCACCGGCAATGTTATTAAATGGTTCATGCTTTTAGCTATGCACTGCTGAGTTATGATGAACTTGCCAAGAGCAACTCTTGAGTGCTCTCCAAACTCCTTGCTATAAATGACTGTTAATTACTAGTCAGTAATAGTGAAAAAGCAAAACATATTGCATTGTCAAATATCACTGACTAAAATAATACAAAAGGGATTTACCTTTATATTATCATATAATATTTTTCTTTCTCATAAGCATTTAAGCCATGCCAAATCCTAGAGTGACACAACTTTCTGGTAGCAACCTATTTGTGATCAGAATATAGTAATCTGAGATTGTTTGACTACATACCAACTCTAAATTCCTTTTATTAGTTTATTTACAGTTATTTACAACTGAATCTTATTTACATTGTCAGGCAATATAACATAACCTCTACTGTAAGCCTAATAAACTAAATACACTGAGAATATTTTAAAAGTGTTCTTGTCATGTTATTAGACAACTTTACAATATTATTATTATTAGCTTTTGCTCTTATCAGAAAATAAAGCGCTTTCCATCTTTTAAAAAATATTTAGCTAGTTTGTTAGCTAGCATATAATTTTTCATTTATTACTGCACCTTTCAATAACATGCGTACTATTAAATTCAAAGCTCAACTGACAAATGCGTTTTTCACTACCGTCAATCAAATGTTCAGCAGCTCCTCCCGGCTTCCGATTACTGCCAAGCATGCCGTAATCAAATCGTTGAGCACAGTCCAGACAATGAAACAGTGCTCGGCAGTAGTGGGAAGCTTGGAGGAGCCGCCAAACATTTGATTGATGGTAGCGAAAAACACATTTGTCGGTTGAGCTTTGAATTTTATAGCACGCATGTTATTGAGAGGCGCAGTAATAATGATAATTTTTGATATTAATAGATTATCTTCTCACATCCATGGCACTGTTTTTAAACTATCATGTTATCACATTTGTTTCTGGACTGACACTGGCAGCACCATTTTTCATATTGCAGCATCGGATCACCAACTCTCCAAACACAGCCATGAAAAGTACAGATGATACTTTAAAAAAAAAAAACAAAAACAAAAGAGTACATTTTGAGTTAATTGCCTAGGGTTGATTTCAATTCTGATGAAATCAAAGAAAGTTAAAACATCTTGAAAACAACAGTGTTGGCAAACTTACAAAAGGCAATCCACCATTGCCAATTTGTCGGGAAGGACTGCATAACTGAAATCAATAATATATTTTATAATTATATCAATTAACAAAATTAACAACTGAAGACATGAAAGATCATTGCAGTTATACACACAACTTAAGCAGTTGTGAGATTGAGGCCTGAAAAAAATTCAGGCCTGAACGGGCTTCAAACCCATGACCTCTGCGATACCGGTGCAGTGCTCTACCAACTGAGCTATCAAGCCAACTGGGAGCTGGTCACTGTTTAAGAGCACTGTACCGGTATCGCAGAGGTCATGGGTTTGAATCCTGTTCAAGCCTGACTTTTTTTTCAGGCTTTAATCTCACAACTGCTTAAGTTGTGTGTATAACTGCAATGATCTATCATGTCTTGATATCTTTCTCCGCAGTTCAAATATATGATCTTTTCACGCATATTCACTTGTAAAATTAACAACTAATAAGGAAATGCCAGTTTGAGTGGGATGATCAACAATTTCCAGATCAAGATCAGTCTCTGAAGGGTTCCCTGGCTGAAACCCAAAGTATACTGCGGTTCCATAGTCTTTTCCTGACTCTTGGTCAGAGAGGCTAGCCACTAATCATAACATTAGTTTTTTTGGAGGTTACACGTACCAAAAGGCAGTAGTAGAAGACTTTTGTATGTAGCAATACTCTAATTCTGTATTTTACGGCTGACTCCTTGGGTTGGCAAGATCAATCAAATCCTGCACTATGATTGGCTACCTGAGCAGTCAACATGGGGCTATCTTGACTGCTCAGGACTACCCACTGTGTCCCGCAAGGAAAATTTCCCTGAAAGCCATATAATAAATCCTTTACTGACCAGGCTTGTTCCGGACAAGATTGCTGGACATTGGCTTCATTCTTTTTTGCCTGTTTATAGATCAAGATGGAGTTGAGGTCCACAAACTCACAAAAAAAGGACTTGGCCGATATCCAGCCATCTTGACCAAACGGATCCTCATTTTCCCCCTTCAATTTATGGCCCATGTGCTTCATGCTTTGGCCATAAATCAATGGGGAAAAAACTCAGTCTATAACTTACAGTAAGGACCTCGAACTTGGTTAGTAAGAGGTATATCTAAATTTTAAACATTCTTACCAGCACAGGACAGTAAAAGATGAACAAATCCTATTGTTATGGCATAATCCCAGACTCTTTTTCTCAAAAAGATTATAAAAATTGCTGTAGTAATGATGTACGTCAGCAACAGAGAAACGAGGGTTACTGAAAGCAAATACAAGACCTACATGAATGTAACATAAAATTGTTCAAGCTAACTACAAGATAGGACAGTTTTTCAACCAGTTAATTTGCGAACTATTCTGTGAATGTTTTGGTTTAACTCTGGGGAGGGGCTACTCTGTTAATCTGAGGGTGGGGGTGTGCCACTGGGACAATGACACCCTTACCCTGGCTATTTTCTATGAATAAACTTAATAACATCATAGTCCAACATAAGCTAACTAGACCAATATCTTATAAAGTCACTTCTGAGTTTCAATTTCTGTTACAGAATACTGGGAGGAGAACCCTGTTGTGCGCACTAATAGACCTTATCACAGTTTTTGACACCATCTTGACGGGTAGGCAAAGCAGTCAGAAATTACAGTGTTTGTATGGGAATCCGATGGCAAATAACTTTTTCCAAAAT